ATTATGTTAAAAATCTCAAGAAAGAAACACTGAAACAAGAGAATCTTATTGTGAAAATATGGGAAGTGACAAAAATGGATATTCTGTCAGATGGGCTGAAAGACTGTTCAAATCAAAAGGAAACTGAATGATGGGATGTATTGTATAAATGGCTGCAGTTACCAGATAGTGTTGGAGTAACATAGAATTAAACTAAAATTAAATGATAAGATGAAAGCAGGAGGGTAATCAAACTGTGAAAAAGCAAAAAGTTGATCTGTTATTGTAATATGAATTGATTGGATGATGGTATACTCTGTGTTCTCCTATCCCCCTAAACTTTTTTTCCCCTCTTCCCTATTCCCCCCTACTTTTTGTATTCCCTACCCTGTCCTTAAATAAATACTTAAATGATAAAAACAAAAAACAGTCACTGAAAGTATAACAACCTCACCGCCTGAGAGCATCCCATAATCTGGGTGCAGCCGAGAGAAGGCCCCCTCTTGTATCCTCACCATGCTTGTCAGAGCAATGGAACTGAAAGAAAGACCTCCTCTGAAGATCTTAGGAGCCAGGAAGGATCATGTGGGAAGATACTGTCTAAGTAATGTCCAGCAATTTGAATTCAGCTTGGAAATTGATTGGTAGCAAGTGTGGCTGTTGTAACAGGGGAATAATATTCTCCCTGTTACTGGCCCCAGTCTGGTTGCTACATTTAGAACCAGGTGAAGTTTCTTAACCATCTTCAAAGACAGCCTCATGTAGAGCATTTGACAGTAAGACACATGAGAGGTACCTAAGGGTTCAATCACACCTGCCGAAAGAACCCTGGTTATACAGATTTGGCCATTTTTTAGGTTGTTCATAATTTTCTGCTCACATGATACACAGTCAATATTCATTCATTTGCCCTGGCAAGTGGTTTATTTCCCCCTCTCTGGGAGGGTTGATTCAAATTGATGATGAATCACTTTATTCCTTATCATTTCAGCCTATGTCAACATTGCTGTCGATCTGCAAAATGGATGGGTTTCTGGGCGCTGTGGCTACTCCATGTCCACTACATGCATATTCTTTTTAGTTTCTTTTTTTAACACAGGATATTAGTAAGCTGCTTGTTTTTGCCATCAGCAGCTCCTGTTAGCAAAAACAACATAAAGACATTGCTCAGTAGAGGGCTAGAAAGTGACAGACATTTCCTGCTTTGAATTGTAAAGAAAAGGGTGTATTGTCAATGTCTACTCTCTGTCTCTTTTAACCCTGCTCTTTATGATGTTTTCTACTCCTGACCCTGCGCAAAAGAGAAAATAAAAATGAAATCCAAGATCTAAGAGGGAAAATATGCAGGGAAATACAGGAAAGGGCAACAAGTGAATAAAAGAGTGGAGGGGAAAGGGGAGGAGGAGAGAAGACATGTACTGTTCTTTTTCTCTATCAATATACCACTTTTGTTATTTTTTAAAAAAAGGGACATGGGGAGGCTGACTGCCCCAAGGAACAGAATCAATACAAAATTAAACAGCAGTGTCACCTGCTATAATGATTCAAATAGAAAGAAATGAATCAATGCAGTTAAAAACAATGTGAATGCTCCTGCCGACACACAGACACACAGACACACACACACACACACACACCATGTGACTGCTGGAAAAATGTATTGATACAATGGAGGTCTGAAAAGTATCGGTATAAACGGGGTTCTTTTCTTACGTGTGATTGGGTCCTAAGGCAGAAAGTAGTTCTGGAGTAAAAAAAAAACATTCCTATGTCCATCTCTTATGCAGCAGGCATCTACTCTATGAGGCATTCTCTCCTGCACAAGGGAAGAGGGAACGCCTCTTCAAAGATTGCACCTGCCATCCCCAGTTGCTGGAACTACTAGCATGGAAATAATTTTCAACACTATCTGATCAATTAATAAGAAGCATTTTATAGTCAGTACAACCCATTAAATGATTCATCCTTGGTAGAAACCCATGTCATGATTCACTGGAAACTCTGACTTCATGTTTTCCCCATCGTTACATAGTGATTTGTGCAAGAGATCTACCCTGTTCTGCCACATGCCTGTTAAAAGCGCGCAAGAAAAATCTACATCTCGCGCTCAACTGTCTGAAGAGACACATGGTAGATTCTTTCTGCCTCCCCTGCCATGGCCCAGGATCCGTAGTTTTAAAATATCAAAGGCAAGCTGATGTACTTACATCAAAAGGATGGGGAGATGCCTTTGCTACAGCCTGGCTGAGTTTACTGGTAACATTGCTTCCTCCCTTAATAAGAGGTCCTGCCCCAAGGAGATGCTGAAGGATACGGAAAGCGTTTGCCTCTGCACTTCCTATGGCAGCTCCTTCGGCCACCACAGCTGCGTGGACAAGGCTATCATCATTCTGCTCTCGGATTTCACCTAAATGAAAGGTCAAAAGAGTCATGGTAAACTAGTCAACGACTAGTCAACGTGCATCAACAGTCCTTAGACTGACAGGCCTATGCATTTTCCAAACCTACTGCATCAAACTGTCTGTTGAGGCACCCCCTACATGTATGCTCCAATGGATCTGAAGGAATACTTCACAACACATTCTGTGATTTATGCAAGGCATCTGCTGTCATCCCATGTGAACTGGGGCTCCATTCTGAAAAACACATCCAGGACCCAACCAGAGATATGCAAATCAGTTGTGAAGCACAGGCCCTGTTTCAGAGGAGCCTAACCATGATCACATACCTTCATCACTGCATAACCCTCCACAAGCTGTGAATGAAACTCAGGGCTCATTGAAAAAACTGTACCACTTACATCAATTAACACATGTCTTAGAAGAAGCCAACAACACTTTCCAGCTAATGGCTAATGTCTCTTCTACAAAGTGTGCTTGGGACTGGGTTTGGAACCTACCTAGATCATGATCTCAAGACATCAACAGGCATTATTATGGGAGTAAATATGGCTTACTGGCACCTTGAAATGAAACTGAAATGGACTGCCTGGTTGCACGAGGCAACTGAACATGGGCCTTTATAGCACTTGGCATGGTGAAACAGAAGATGGTCAGCCTGAGCTTGAATCCTTGCTCTCCCAGGCCAGTCATTCTGAGGCCAGATACGCTATGCTAAACTTATTTCACAGGCTTTATGGCTAGGGCAGAGGGAACACAGATGAAGAGCAGAGAACTTGCTTCTGGAACAAGGCTCCTGAGTCAACCTTTTCCATGTCGAACTAGAACAGGGGTCTCCAAACTTTTCAGTATGAGGGCCACATCATATATCTTACACATTTTCGAAGGGCCAAAGGAGGGGGGACCCAAGCAAAGACAGCAGGGGGTGGGGGATCACTTCTGTCAGCTTTTGCTCCTCTTCCTATCCCCGCTCGGGCATAAAAAGAAGAGGGAAGGGGGCATTATCGTCAACTGTAAATCTACTGGGAACAAGGAACAGTGGTACTCGGGTCATTTACTGGGATTCTGATCCATGAAAGACTGTAGTTCCATGAAAAGATGACAGAATTACTAGGACTGGAGGACAGGAGGTTTGCAGGCAAAATAACAGTCCCACAATGAGAGGTGGGACTGTACTGCAGGTCTAATTTAATAACATTGCTACAGAAGCATATTCAGGGAAGAGGGTAATGCAAAAGACCACATTTACCTCCCTTGTACTTGGCCTTCTCCCCAGCTGAGCCATGCCCACTGCGAATGTTCATAAACTGCTCTCCTATTTGCTTTAGATCAGCATGGTTCATACCTGCAAAACAGTGTGTCAGTCAGGAAGAGCAGCCCAGAGCTTCCAGTGAAAAGCAGGTTCTGCCCTTTGAAGAACAGAGCAGAACTATAAGATACAAATGTCTGTTTATACATACCTACACCCACCAGAGCCATCCGGGCACTTGTGAAGTTGCTCTGTACAAAATGGTGCAGCTGTGAAGAAAAGAGGGATGCCTATTTTATCATCTGTCACATCACCAGAAGAAGGACATAAGTGCCCTGTGAGATCAGGCTAAATCTTGTCCATAATCCCGCTTCTGCATAGGACAATCGGACACTCCTGGAATGCGAAACCGTTGAGCAGAAAGGCAACAGTCCTCCAAATCTATTACTCAGATTTCATCAGTGGTATACGACCTCAAAACATGCAGGAATCCATCTGTCTATTTATTTATTTATTTGATTTTTACCCCGCCCCTCTAGACCATGTCTACAGCAGATAACAGGAATAGACATACCACTGTTTTGTGAGTTTATCTAATCTGGATAAAGCTCTTTTCCCTCTTACGCAATAGCAGAACCAGGGGACATCCACATGAGGTTAGTTGTGCAGGGCAGGGGTATCAGGAGACAGGTACCTAGTGGTCTCATGGGCTCCCAGAGGCATCTGGTAGAGCCACTGAGAGATACAGGAAGCCGGACTAGATGGGCCCTTGGCCTGATCCAGCAGGGTTCTTCTTATGTTCTTAATCTCGCTTTAAACCTATGTAACCTAGTGGCTATAACTCCATCTTGTGGAAATGAATTCCATACAATAATCATGTATGATGTGGAGCACTTTCCCACTAAACCTAGGTTAAAAGCAGTGCTGTAATTTGGCATACTGCAAAACTGTTCTAAAAAACAGCAATGGGCAAACTAGGATCCATACAGATTGCTGGGATAATAACAACCCTGCATGCAATTAACACTGAATATTAGTGTCAGGGAACTTTGACTAGCTAAACTCAACAGCCTCTTTTTCCCCACTAACCAATTAAGAAAGTCCTTTTTCCCCCACAGACTCATGGCTTGCCCCTCCGCTTTTCCTGTCTGTTTGCTCCCGGTTGCTTGTTTGTCCTCCTTTCTCTTCCCTGACCATTCCTAACGCGCTCTTTCTCGGCTGCTGATACTGGACCATGTGGCCGGTATGGTGGACAATAGTTTTGCACATGGCTGAGCTTGCAATACCTTTCTTTTACCTTTCATCTATTCCTCTGACTGTAACTGAACATCAAAAGTAAAGAGGTTTTTTCTTTCTTAATTAAGCTACTTGTAATTTTTTCCTTTCATATACAAAGGGCTAATGAGAACAAAAGGGCTGGGTGAAGACTGGGAATTAGTATTATTACTTTTTTGCTATTCATTCCTACGTTTTCCCTGTGCTTTAGGAATTACTTTTGTATTTTTATGCTCTGCTAATTGTAAAAGGGAATTATCAAATTTCCACAACATAGATCAGACTTGAGACATGTGTGGCCCTCTAGATGTTGTTACGTGCCCTCCAGCAGCTCTCTCCCGTAGAAGTAGGTATTTTCCACCATCTGCTGTCCAAGATATAAGTGGAGGCAGCATAGAGCGAAACTAGGATCACATTCAGTTTGCCTGTTCATATATAATTGACACCTTCCCATTGTTCCAAGAAGTTTTGAGCAAAGCCCCCATTATTGTTACAGCAACTCAAGGAAGAAATGAATGGTATATCTAAAAAAGGAGAGATCAGCATATACACCTGAGGAGCAGGACCCCTGACCAAATCACTGTTTTGCAAAACATGGCTGTAACTTTCCCAGCACTGTGACTACAAAATACAAGGTGGACTTGCGTCTGCTGGGCAAACTATTTGGCCAATAGCCATCTTCTTATCAACAAACCTTCTGGCAAGCTGTTAAGGCACAATCTGATCCCTTAAGAGCAGGGGTCTCCAAACTTTTGACCCGGGGGGGGGGCACATCGGATAATTTCAACATCTTAGAGGGCCGAAGGAACAGGAACGTATGCACATAAAACACCACCCACACATGGGGTTAAAGGAACAGGCCAGATAAAATGGCAAGACAGGCCAGATGCGGCCCGTGGGCTGTTGTTTGGAGACCCCTGCCTTAGAGAAAGGCAAGAGAGAACCAGCTAGGAATGTAATTCAATGCCACCGCCTTTCCTCCTGAGAAGAACAAATTATGTCACTGCTATTGAAAGTGATACTATAGAGACTCTTACCTGCTCTGGTGTAATTTTCTGTAGCCTATAATCGGGACAGTATAAGGAATTGGCAAGGGCATTTCGATAAGCCACTGCATGCAAGTTTTCAATAATACCTGCATATAAAATAGCAAATGGGGTTTGTTTGGTTTCTTACACAAAGCAGTAAATTGCAGCAATCTGTTCCCACGCCCTGCCCAACAGAAACATTATCATCACTGCCCATATGGAGAATCCCTCCAAAACTGAGGTGAAGTCCCTGCTCACAGGGACCATGCCTATTTGGGGGGAGGGGAGAGGGAGAGAAGTGGTGTCTGAACTAGGGGTGGGTAATTGTGGCCCTCCAAATGTTGTCAGTAAGGGGCAATGGGATCCGCATTAAAACGTACAGAGTTGCTCACCCAGGTTAAGCAATGCTGTTTGCTAGGCCAGCAATATTGGCAGAGTTCAAGAGGCTATTTTGGGGGGAGAGTAAGCTGTAAGACCACAGAATGCTGTTTCTTTGAAAAGCCACCACATTGCTGCTAAAGCTGTCTTTGCTGCAGAGGGATGCCCTTCAAGAAAACACAAGCCCAAAGCCCCCTTTCTGAAGAGAGAGACTTTTGGCAAGACACCATTAAGCATATTGCATGAAAAGCAAATTCCATTTTTGAGGGCAAACATTCAGTTACAGAACTGGTTTATGGGTGTCTTTCAAGTGCCATTATGGAAAAGGCATGACAGTTCTCTGCAGAACTATTCAATCCAATTTATGACTTTATTGATTTATTTATTTTGAAAAGAGGAGCTTTTCCCGCAAGCCATCAGAACTACAAATTATTATTTTCCAAATAGCAATTTGTCCCCCAGCTTTGGAGGTCACCAAGCATGGAGGAAGAAGAGAGAGCAAAACTGGGATGCAGGCGGCCCCATATAGTTTAGGGTGGGCAGTCCTTGAAGGGGAAAAGGACATCCTGCTTTGATTTAAAACAATTTCTCTAGTGCTCAAGTCCCTGAGATACTTACGAACTTGTGGCGATTGAAGGGCAACTGCCTTGTCAATTTTTAAACGGGGTATAACCTCAGAAAGTTCCCAGAGCCTGAATTCTGGAGCTGTAGTGACATTTATCAGATATTCCAGTACAGTATCACTGAGTAAATTAAATAAAGAGAGGAAAAAGCATTTTAAGGAAGTGCTGAAGTCTGAGTTCCCCACCCCAGTGTAAGACAAGACAAGGATAAGTTGCTACACTAAAACATGCTTTTCTAGAAGCAAGTGGATTGATACTGTTTGGAGCTGATGTAGTCCAAAAGGTATGGAAGGCACAAAATTATGAAGGTTGTAAAATACCGTATTTTCCGCTCTGTAAGACGTACCTGACTATAAGACGCACTTAATTATGGAGCGAAAAATACGGTACATAGAAGGCAAAAAGGCAGGGAAAAAGGATGGGAGACTCGAATCTCCAGTCCTTTCCCCCTGTCCTTTTGCCTTCGGAAATCTGCAAGGGCTCCCTCCGATGTCGGGGGAAAGCCCTTGGAGACCTCCTGGGGGGTCCCCCACCGCCTCAAAGGCAAAAAGGCAGGGGAAAAGGATGGGAGATTTGAATTTCCCATCCTTTTCCCCAGCCTTTTTGCCTTTGGAGGTCTGCAAGATTTGAATCTCAGGCCTTTCGCCTGCCTTTTTGCCTTCGCGGCTGCAGGAGACACCCCCCCCAAGATTTGCTCCATAAGGCACACACACTTTTCACTCTACTTTTTGGGGGAGGAAAAGTGCGCCCTATGGAGCGAAGAATACGGTAATGTACTATTTGGGAGTGAACAGAAGTGCGCACAAAATCTGCATTCACAAGTCTTGCCAAATGGTTTCAGAAAACTGAGATACTGAGTTTTCAAATGTATGTGTTACTCATACAGAAAAGTCTAATCAACTTATAACTAGGACTAATCGAAACAGGGTGATATACTCAAGGAAAAAAGTGTCATTTGTTGCTATGAACTAGCTGAGAGCAAACACGCACGTGGCCAAGAATAAAGTTAAACTATAGAGGAAGGACAAAAAGCTATTTGTACCAAAGCATTTCAAAGCTTTTCAATAGAAAATGCAGACAAAATGAAACCTTTTGAAACCTGACTGGCTGCACATCTCGATGCTTACATGTAGTCACGCATACATTCAACAGAATACGCCATGTTTTCTCTGGTAGAAGTCACACTGAAGGAAAAAAGAAAGAACATCTTCAGAAGAGCGTAGGAGGCCACTGAAGTTCAGCATGCACTCTCTGTTTAAATCCTACTGTACAGTTGCCACTGTTATTATTAACACTCTTATCTTCAGCTATAAATGAGCCCCCTTTAAGAATTAGTGATATCAGAACCCTCCTCGGGTGTAATGACTAATAACAATGCACAAAGTGGAAACATAAGGTGCATTCAGGCATTCAAAACTGAAAGTGTGGAAAAGAGGCCAGCACCACGCACTCCACCAAGATTCCCATTCTATCTAAAAAAGACCTCCCACTCACATTCAGCAGTAGGCATTTACAGAATACCATGGGGCTGAAAGCTAGGCTAACCCAAAACTTCTGATCACACTGTGCTGTGTGAACAGTTTTTTCACACACTCTCAGGCAATACTGGGATTGAGGGGAAAGTGGCCGGAGTATATATCTGTGCCTTCCTTTCCACATGAACAGAGCCTATCATTTTGTCTTACATCACACTATCAATACCAATACAGTGCTAACAGTGAAAATGGATTGTTTATTACACTGCACATGGCACTTTACAGAAAAATGTAAGACACACAGTACCCTGCTGTCAAGATGCTTGCAATTCATGAAATAAAGAAACTGAAACAAAATTCTACCTAAGAAACGTTAAGGCTTTTAAAAAGATTTAATACCTTTACATAGTTTTAGCCCTAAACCTAATATTCCTCCTGAATCTTTCTTAAAGCACTTAACTGGAATGCCACCTCCACAGAATTCTGTAAAAGGACAGGTGAGCCCTAAGTAATAACAAACCTTAAGCAACCGCCAACAGCTTCAAGACCCTGGGTGATTCTGAAGATGGACACTCCTTTTGTAGTCTGTAGATAAATCAATACTATAAGCATCAACTGTGAGTGTGAAGACAAGGTTCTTTAGCATATAGACAGGGAAGTAAACTCAGATGAATTAAGGAGATCAACAACTTCTTTCTGGAAACTCAAAAGGCTTTAGGTGCTCTCCATCTTACTAAGTTTTGCTGCAGATTAATGTCTGCTGCAACAAAGAGTAAATCGGCATCCCCTCTACTCCTTTCCAGGTGATATAGCAGAAACCTAGGGAGAAGCACAGCGACACTGCACTCTTGAGCTTCCCTAAACCCATAAGCAGTAACCCAAAGAAATGGCAGTGGGTGGGAAAGTTGGGACAACTATGGTACCGCATGGACTTCTGTTCGAAAAAACAACTCTGCTCTTTTTGGGAATGTTACCTCCAACGTTAAAGTTAATACCTTCACAACCACTGTATTGCTACTACTGCAATCCACAGGCTTTTCAAGTAGTTAGTGAAAGCACAGTTGCTCACTGATCACTACTGGGGCTTGACGGGTTCTTTGTAAACATCCAGAAACACTATGCCGGTTAGTGCTGCTGCCTTCCTTCCAAGCACTCAAGTTTTAATGTCCCAATAAGAGTATAACTTTGTGTTGTCACAGCAGCGGGAGCAATCCCAGTCGGACTCAAGTGATCTGTCATCAGAGCACTCCACATCTATCCTCCTGAACATGCGAGGCTCTGGGGGGCACAGGGAGGCCGAAGTGAATTCCAAACTGCTTCATCCAAAGCTTCCATCTCCCCGTAGTGTGAGCAAAATACTACAGCATAAGCATTGATCATCGTTTCAGATCCCAAAGCTATTCTCAGCCATAGGCAATTTAGACTGCAGATTTAGTGCTGAAGGAAATACGTCACACAACAAGGTATTGGGAGGTCCAGTCACTGAATATTACAGTCTAAACAATCTATTAATCTAGCAGACCTTCGGAGAACCAGACATAAGTGGTCATATTTATTTCAGATCAAAAAGGACAGACACGTTGACTGCAGATTTAGTGCTGAAGGAAATACGTCACACAACAAGGTATTGGGAGGTCCAGTCACTGAACATTACAGTCTAAACAATCTATCTATTAATCTAGCAGACCTTCGGAGAACCAGACATAAGTGGGTCATATTTATTTCAGATCAAAAAGGACAGACACGTTGCTTCCAGGAAAAAGAAAGGCACCAGAGATGGGCACTGACCATGGTTCAAAGAATCAGGCGTACAGGTGTTCTGTGTCCCGTCTCCTTCTGCAGGCACCGACTCAGAGGAGGCAGGGAAGCCTACAGCACTGCTTCTCACAGGGTGTGGAATCTGGGGTGCCTAAACAACACCTGTGGGCCCAATCCTCCAATCTGCACCAAACCACAGTAAGGGCCCCTCTCTAAAAGGCACATTTAAGTTATTTTTCTGCCTCATGTACCAAAGCAACTCAACCAAATCTGAGTGCGCTGCCCAGCTTACCTCACACAATATTTATCCAACTCAGAAATCGTACCAAATAATAAGTATGGTCTCCTTAACCACAGATCTGCATAAGGACCTTCTGTCAAGCCTTGCTTCAATAAAGGTCATAGCCAGAAAGACACTCACTTTGGGGTTCAACTGAAATCTGGTATTTCAATTCAACTTCTCCCCACCACTGATTCCTTAGGCCAAACCTGACTTAAGAGAATAACCACCCTAAACACAAAGTATGAGGTCAAAAGATGAAAACCTACCAGATTAGATGCAAGGCGGAGCATATGAACAGTTCCTAAAGTGGCAGAGGTCTCATACCTGCTGCCGGCTTTGATGAAGACGGCAATTCTTGATACAGGAGAGTAATTTTCCAGGGAAGCAATCACCAAGCCATTTGCTAGTTTTGTGATCTGCAGGTAGGAAAGAAGATATAAAACCAGGGGAAACCTACAAGTATTTCCTCCGAACATTTCCAATTATGAGAAATATGGGCATATAAATACTGACTGACCTCAAGATCCTCGGGGTGCAGTTGAACTTTCGCTTGTGGTGCTGTCGCCAAGATATTTGGTTTAGGTGCACTTCTGAGAGAATAAAATCTCCTCTGAACAAAAGAAGAAAAAGAGTTGCAAACTAGAGCCAGAGAAATATTTTGTTTTCACTAACCAAAATATGAACAATTAACAAGCAAACTTTATGCTAGCTTCAGTTATTCAGATCCCCTTTACTTCATTCCCTGCTGAAAGTTTACTTAGAACCATCCACATGAATTCTTGCAGCCATTTCTTTCATTTGCCCCCCCCCTTAAAGTTACAATTCAAGTTTAGAAAACTGGACATTCTTCCCAACATGGGCTATAACAAAAGTCAGAGCTGATAGATCCTTTGTTTGCCACAGAATGAGCCTGGCTTGCCCGGACCACCCATCTGAGTAAGGAAATTAGCCCCACCCCAAAAAAGCGCACCAATTTAGCAATCTCATCTTTAAAAAAAAAATACAGCATGCATGCCCGTTTGTTAGAAAACTCACTGCTAATTTTTAAAAACAGAAATGCAAGAAGGAGAAATGTTTGAATGGTTCACCTTTATTTTAATGCTCTCTAATTTTATCATTATATGACCTTAACTACTCTGGGATTCACTTTGAAAGCAAAGGCAATACAGAAATACTTGTATAACTAAACAAACAGCAATGCAGTCGGTATTTTGACTTTAGAAAGGAAATTGGAAAGCACCAAACCAGTCCCATGGCAAGAACCAACCTTTCCCCATGACAAATGCTGGAAAAAAATGCATCTGCACTTCCTGAGCTACTCAAGACCTGCACATTTGTTTCCGGTATGTAGCAAAAGCTAACTCCTTGTATTGCAACAAGAACTGCAAGTGAAATAAGCCATGCTCTTCAACTGCCCCAGTCTCAAAGCACCACGTATCACTCATTAGCTGAACTGCACTCCTTACTCTACTGATGAGAAAGTGAACAAGTGATCCAAAATGACAGCCTAGCGACACTATCTCAAATTTTGGGAGAAAATGTGAGAATCAATTGATCCTAAGCAACACTTACAACAACAGCAAATGTTTCTTGTTTGATGCACCCTGGACGAGGTTTCCAGCTACTGTAGCCAAACAGTCACGCTGCCTTCCCAACAAATGGCAAACTACTTCTGAGTACTCTCTGCCTAGCAAACCCTGAAAAGGGTCACCCTAAGTTGGAATCGACTTGATGACACACAATTACTTCACTAACGCAAGGAGCAGGGGGGCTTCGGCCTTTGAACCAAACTAAGCCTGAAGTTACTTTCTCTGCCTACCTTGAGAACATGTGCACATTGATCGCAAACTGGTTCTCATTTTACTTTAAGTTTCATTTTTATACAAAACCCCCGCGTATAGAAAACTAGCAAGCCAGAACACACACACATCCATACATATATATACACACGTATATATACATATACATATATACATACATACACATATATATGTGTATGTATGTATATAATATATATGCATATGTGTGTGTGTGTGTGTGTGTGTGTATTTATTTATTTTAAAAATGTCTACCTTGACGATCTAGGGGCTAGGACCCTACTTTAGGGGCCTCACGACCAAAAACATCAACATAATATAAAATGTAGTAAGAAGCGTAAGTTAAAACAGTGAACAGAAAAAGGAACCCTCACTATATCTAAAGACCTAAGCCGACATGATAGAGGGTGGCAAAATCAATGTCAATTCACCCATAAACACCATAGCAACAGTAATTAAAAGAAGTAACATTAAATAGGAACAAGACTGTAGAAAGCCTAAGTAAAAAAAAGTACAGTGGTGCCTCGCTTAACGAGTGCACTGTACAACGACGAAATTGCATAGCGATTGGGATCGCTAATGCGATCGCTCAACGAGCTTTAGATAGGACGAAACTCGCTTTGCGAAGATCGGTAAGCGTTTCACTTACCGATCTTCGCAAAACAAAGCCCCGACGATCAGCTGTTCAGCGGACAAAATGGCCGCCGGAAGCCCCAAAATAGCCGCGCGCAGTGTTTTCGCGCCCTCCCCTCGCTTAACGAGGGCGCGAAAATGGCTGCCGGCCATAGGAAACTTCGCTGAACAGTAAGTAAAGGAGCCTTTTGGAACGCATTAAACATCGTTGCTTTCCCTGTCCCGTTCAGCGATGTTTCGCTATAGCGAAGGTTAATCCAGAACGGATTAACCTCGCTATGCGAGGCACCACTGTACTTGTTTTCTAAAGCTGATGAGGGTAGGAGCCTGACACATTGCCACTGGAAGGAAGTTCCACAACATGGTGGCCACCACCGAGAAGACCCCATTTCTGGTTGTAGAACCGTGGGGTGGCCATCCATAGTCAGATAAATCGACAGTAAGCAGTTCTCTTGTATTTCACACTTGAGAATCATCATTAGAGCGCCCCCGTCGCCCCCGCCTGCCTGCCTGCCTGATCGCCTCACCGACCGGGAGAAGAGGCCGCGGCGCCCGCTCGAAAGCAGCGTCCCGGTCGGGCCCCTTCCTCCCCTTCAAGGTCGCTTCCCTTCTGGGCGAAGGCGCGAATGCTGTGTTGGCTCCGGCTCGGCGTCCCTCGGACGGCAGGGCTTCTCCCCCACACACCCGGGCCACTCCCTCACTGCCCGGTCCCGGGGGACTCACCGAAAGGCACCGCGCCACAAACAGACCGGCCCTCATGGCTGCCGACAACCCCCCGACTCCCTCACCGCCCGAGAAATAAAACTTAAGATGGCGGCGGAAGAGAAAGTAGCGGCCGCGGAGTTTCCCAGCATGCACCTTTCTCGGCCTATCGTTGCTACGCTCCCAACCATAGAGACGCTCGTGAGACTCTCTTAGTTAGGATTCTATTGAACCCTATCGTACCATCAAGGAGACCTCGGGAGGCTAGAACGTCGCCGGGTGAAACAAAAAGTTCGGTCCCTAGTGTTGGGTCAAGCAAAGTCCGGCTCAGAATTGCAGAGGGTTACACCCTCCATATGCGGGGCAAGAGTGGTGGAAAAGACGCGCAAAGGCAAATGGAAGTAAACATTGACCATTATTACTCTTCCCCAAGAACAGTATTCAAAGCTCAAGCCTTTTTCCTCACAGGGCTCCGAAATACTGTAAAGTCTTTCACCCAAAGGATATATGAAGTGTATGTGTGTATCTTTCTCTTTTAAACGTCTCAGGGCGAGGAAGAATGGAGACGCGGCTGACAGAAAGGCTTCACCTGTTGAACTCTCTACTTAACTCGACTGCTGGGTTGGGTTTATTCATCTCTTGTCTTATAGTCCGACGTTCGCTTTCCCCAAACTGGTGCCCTCTAGTCCTGAGCTGTGTGGGACTACACCTATTGTTATTTTCAGGTGAGGATGATGGGATTTGTAGTCCAACACACCTCTGGAGGCTGCAGAACGCAATACCCGGTGGCATGTAATACTTAAAGCATGTGGGGTGAGCAAAACCGTAGCCCATCCGTACTTCCCATTCCCACCAGTCTCCGGCCAGTCTGGGGCTGATGGAAATGTAGTCTAGCAATAACTGGAGGGGTACTGGTCAACCCCCCCCACCCAGATCTGAAAACATTCCGAGGCTTCCAGGAGGCACCCGGGCCATTCTTTTTATCTGCGATTTTTTTTTTGTTTTTGCATCCCAGCTTCTTTCCAGGGAGTTCAAGGCGATCCAGGACTGGCTTTCCTTCCCCTGCTCTCCTCACAGAAACCCTGCTAGGTAGGTCTGGCTAGGAAGCCCAGCCCATGGTCAGCACCTCCATTTTCACAACTTAGCAAGGATTCGAACTCGGGGCTGGGGGTCCTCCTGAGCCCTAGGCTGGGACTCCTCTAAGACCAAATATCCGAGACCCTCTGATTCGGGCCAGCCACTATCACATCTGGGAAAGAAACACCGTTTTCGTTCGGGGAATAGCATACTGCCGCCAGCTACAGTATCCTTCTCCTTCGTCACAGTGTTTCAGGGTTGGTCGCTCCTGGAAAGCACAGTTAATTTGTTTGTTTTTCCTCCTTATTTATTTATTTATTTATTTATTTATTTATTTATTTATTTATTTATTTATTTATTTGCAAAGAATGAAAAGACAACCGACCATATTACAAATCGTCAATACAAAGCTATCCCCCCCCCCACAATTCTCCAAATCGCACAGTGAATTCACGAGCCATTAGATTAACAA